TGGTACACACAATCCTTGCGAACATTTGCATTGATCAGCAAATAGACTGGCATTCAAAGAGATGGCTATTGCAACTGGACACACATTAAAGTTTCCAAGGTCAGACACCAAGGTCTCTGATATGGGGCATCTAGAGAGATTTCCACCATCATTGCACTTCATTAATATTGAATTCTTACTTATCAGACACTCAGGGAGGAAAAGAGACATGCAAATTTCCCAGAAGTGAAGACCTTCAGAGAATTTACAGTGATTTGAATACACCGAATTCTGTACTGCATAATCTCGCAATCAAATTTCAAAATAATGTGATAAAAAATGATACCCTGTGGAAATGTAATCACCTGCCACAAATGATGAAGAAATAATATCAAATGATATGTAACAATTATCTGAAACATAATGAAGTCGATTTGCTAATTAAAGGGAAAACATCGTGTATTGTAATTACTATTCAATATTTAGTAATATAATTTCTCTATAGTTAACTTAGGAGCCTATTCATGAATTAAATGCTAACAGAAAGAAGAGAAAACTGTGATAAATTCTCAATCCACAAATAAACAACCTTTGATATTAGTTATTCTTTCCATCATCCAATTACCACTCAAATTGTCAGAAAGCTAATTAACAGACGGAAAGTCAACTTGTGAAATCCATTTAGTGAGGTTTTAATTTAATTCAGCCACTATCAACTGGATCTAAGCATTGGCAAAATATTCAGTGTTGTATAGGATAAAAGTAGTATGGTCTCATTAACTGAGGGTGTCTCCTGTCCTAGGCAGGGTGCTCAATGACATGCACAAGACACACACACATACACACACACACAGAGAACATCCCACCCCACAAGCATTATGTATCTATTCATGTGATCCATACAAGATGCCAACAGAAGCAGGCAATGGTACCATCCACATACACTTCTCAACTCTCAATTTCCTCATGCCTAAAATGGAAATGTGGAGTCCTGGTGTGGCACTGTGGGTTAATGCGCCAGACTGCAATGCCATTTGAACTGCAAGATCTGTGGTTCAAGCTCAACAGCTGCTCCTTGGAAACCCTATACAGGATCGCTATGGTTCAGAACCAACTCGATGGCACTTAACAACAACAACAAAATGGAAATAGTGAGTTGAACCTCTTAGCTTTTTCACGAGGGTTAAATGACAACGTCTGTACAAGGTCCAGTACCCAGTTAATGATTCTTGTTATCATTGAATATTGTTGTTGTCAAGTTGTCTCTGACTTGTGGCACTCTTATAGGCAACAGAAGTAAGCAGTGCCAGGTCCTCTACGATTTTCAAGATTGATGGCATGTTAGACTCCATTGTTGTGGCCATTATTAGGTGGATAAAGGGCTAAGGCCGCTTCATCCCAGATTGTTCAGCCATCTTCAGGAAGCCAGAGGCAGGAAAAAACATCACAAAATCAGTCCATCCATCCCCTGCCCTGAGATATAATGTCTAAAGTCACATCTCCTTACCTGAATAAATTGGTACACACAATCTTTGGGAACATTTGCAATGAATAAGCATGTGCTGTGTGTGTGCTCCTACTGCAAGATCGCTCCAGGCTACTGGCTAGGATCAAAGCAACAGGATCCAGAGCCATGGCAATGGCATGCTTTGTTGTTCCATTGCCTACAAGGGGCAAGGAATCACAATGAAAAAGGTCACTAACTTGGGCTGTGTCAGCACCGACCCTTGCAAGCCCATTTGTCTCCTTTCACAAAGCCACACTCCCCTTGTGACCAGGGTAGAGGGGACAAAAGTAATCTACCTTTCATATCATGGGCTCATGGACTGGTAGGAATTGGCTATATATGCATATTAGAAAGAATGAATGAGCTATCTCTGTGTTATAACACAAGTTACCAATTTTTAGGACCTAGATAATGTCATTGTTGTTAAATGCCATCGAGTCAGTTCCGACCCATAGTGACCCTGTATAGGATTTCTGGGGAGCAGCTGGTGAGCTTGAACCAACAATGCAGTTCAAACGGCTTTGCAGTCTGGCACATTAACCCACAGCGCCACACCAGACAATGACAGTACCATGAACATACCATAGACTGCCAAAAACAAACAAACAAACAAAAAATCCCCAGATCTGTGTTGGAAGAAATATAGCCAGTGTGCTCCTTGGACTTCGTTTCTCGTACTTCAGACATATATTTAGGAGGGACCAGTCTCTGGAGAATGATATCTCATATTTGGTAGAATGGAAGGTTGGAGAAAAAGAGGAAGACTCCCAGTGAGCTGGATTGACACAGTGGCAGTAGCAATGGAGTCAGACGTAGCAAGGATTGTGAGGTTGGTGCAGGACGGGGCAGTGTTTCCTTCTGTTGTGCATAGGGCTGCTATGAGTCGGTGCCAATTCGATGGCACTAACAACAACAACAGACAATGACAGGAATCCTGGTGTGGTGCTGTGGGATAAACACTAGCCCGCAAGGTCAGTTCGAACCACAAGGTCAATAGTTCTAACTCACCAGTCACTTCTGGGAAACCCTATACAGGGTTGCTATGAGTCAGGAATGACTCAATGGCAACTAACAACCACAACAAGACAATGCAACAATGATTCACTTGTTATTTCATCCTTCCTAAACAACTATTTCTTCGTGTGATGACTTTGGTAATCGTAAACCTCAATGTTGCTGTGGGAAATACACATTGTACTAATTCTCTGCTACCTCTCTGATAGAACCTCTCTATTCTCTTCAAAGACAGTATCCTTTTTTTATCTTTCTTATCAAGGCAGAGTACACCATGTTAAGGGCAAGAAATCCCAGCTCGATTGTTTTCAGTTTGGAGTCTCAAATGAAAGTCTGTCATACCTTCTTAATTTCAATAGTTACATCACACATGACAGCTTATAACACTTTTATTACTAAATTATGATTTTTGTTTCTCCCCAAATACACTAAATATGATGGAGCTTCAAAAAGTTCATGTTGTGAGCAGGCATATGGTCTTGCTGGTGACCATGTTGATCTACCTATAAGGGGAAGTGGGGGAAATACATCAGTGAAGTTGTGAGCTAAGTCTGACTACGTTCAACAGATTCCTTTCCACCTGAATTGTGAGACCCTGGTTGGCCAGCAGTATGGCGAGACCTAGGGATTCTTTGTCCCAGGGGCAGGGACATGGCCACAGAGGACTAGAGCAGAGAGTGAAGTGTCCAGCTGATATGAAGTGAGGGGAGATGTACAAGAATACCCATAATTGCAGATAACACCATTTGACCAGGCTTCAATGGCTGGATGATCAGAACTTGACTAGAGGAAGAAAGAAGAGGACAAAAAAGAGTAATCCGCTACAATTTTATGAACTTGACCTATACTTATGGATGTAGTAGCTCAAAAGAGGGAATGAATCTTTATAGCGAGGATCATTCCCACCCCCTTGGTACACAGGGTTAACAGGGATGGGCAACTTAGACATTGGCTTCTCAAAATG